GTGTTCTTCGGCAACATCCGCTGTTTTCTCATTGGTAGCGGAGCCCAAACCCGATTCGGGGGAGGGCTCCAGCTGTGCGCTTCGCTTGACCGAGCCGAGCACCCGGGATAAGACCTTCGTCACCCACTCGCTGACGAGTTCAAGACACTCCTTGTTGTGGACCTCCTTGTGCAACACCCTCTGGGAAGGAGTTGTCTACTGGCCCTGGACCTTCACTATGTCTCAGAAGAAAGGCCAGCAGCGAGGCAAGACGCAGGCCACCGGATCAGGCTCGATGTCTTCAGAAGAGCCAACCTATGCTGATGTTCGTGACAGCTTCGTCCCACTGTTCAATGGACAGCCCTCCGAATATCGAGAATGGCGCCAACGAGTTCAGCTCTACTACAAGAAGATGACATTGGCCGCGTGCTGAACATTGTGGGTAGCTTCAAAGGTGTGGTCTGGCGGCTCTTCGAGGATTGGTCCCTGGAGCGATTCGAGAAGGATGACGCCTTCGAATCCATGTTGAAGGTGTTAGATGGGAACTTTTCTTACGACCAGAGGGTTCAGCTTCCCGCCGACTTCGAGGGCTACTTCAACACCTTGCAACGGCTCCCAGGTCAGACCCTCCTGACTTATGTCAACGACCACGAGGAAGCTTACAGGAAGCTGCTACAGCATAAAGTCTCTCTCCCTGACTCCGTCCAAGGATGGCATCTCCTACGACGTGCCGCATTGACTAAGGAGCAGCGACAGCTGATCACCCTGCGTGCACCGACCTTGGAGAAGGCTGCAATCATCGAGGCGCTCTACCTCATCCTGGGCCAGGACTACAAAGCTGGCGGATGGAACCATGACCGCAACAAGCGCTTTCAACGATGGAGCAACAGCAGCCGCGCCTATGCCGCTCAGGACGACTGGTGGGAGGAGGATGACTATGGTTGGGATGATGAAACGGGCTACTATGAAGATGATGAACAGGTAGCCGTCTACGACCTGGAGGAGGAAGAGTTCGATGCTGATGCCGCCTACTATGGCGATGAACAATGGCCTGACGAGGCCACAGAAGCTCACAGTCCTGACCGCATGGCTGAGGAGTACGACACAGCATTCGCCTCCTACACGGACGCCAGACGCAGGTTCAATGAACTGAAGATGGCTCGAGGTTTTCTGCCAGTCGTGGCCTTGGCCGACAACCAGCAACCTGTCATGGCCGGTGCATCTTCATCCTCATCGAGCCCTAGGTCTTGGCAGAGAAAAGGGAAGGGGAAAGGTGGCAAGTCCAAGGGCAAGTCCTCGACAACCGTGCGCTATCCTCCACAGGGCGCCGGAAAGAGTGACCCAAAAGGGCGTGCGAAGGCCAACATGACCTGCCTTCGATGTGGACAACAAGGTCACTGGGCCGCAAACTGCCCGCAAGGCTCGGCATCCAAGGGCTCGAGCCTCAAACGTCCAGCTCCGACTGAAAGCATGGCTCAACTCCATGATGATGAGCGCGGCATGATCATCTTTGAGGATCACAACGGCCATCAGAGGCCGGACTGCGTCATGCTTGACCCTGAAGCCAGTGCGTTCCTGGCTGGCTATGGCCCCTTCCGACGATTCCTCCAACATCTGAAAGATGACTGCCACTTCCCGGTCGAGACGATCAAGATGACCAGAGGCAGACGCCGCTTCCAGTTTGGAGGAGATGCAGCTTCATGGTCAACCTGGAGCGCTCACTTGCCCATCTTCCTGGATGGCCGCTACGGGACAGTTCAGTTGTTCCTACTTCCAGGTCAGACTCCAATGCTATGTGGAAGACCCATCATCGAAGCAATGGGCATGACTATGGACTTCGCCATGCGGCGGGTTCGTTTTGGCAACAGTCCCTGGAAGCAGGCAACTTTGGGCAGACAAGGCGAGTACTTGCTCTCCCTCAGTGACGAGCACTCCCTCATCGACTACGACCCCGAACGCCCGGAGTTCTGCCTCAAGACCACTGAAGCTGATCTCGACCAAGAAGAGGACATCTCCCTTGCTGAGTTTGAGAAGGAGGAGAGTTGCTTTTGCACCAACGCCTCTGAGGATCTCATGGATCGCATCAACACCAAGGCACTTCGTCGTGACGACCTTAAGACCATGGACATCCACTTGAACACTCATCTCAATGAGCTGTCCGCCTATGTCACCAAGCAGCTACATCCTCAAGAGTCTCGGCGGAAGCTCTGGGAGGTCTACTGTGGGGCATCCCGCACTTCGCAGGTGGCGGAAAGTCTTGGAATGGAAGTGCGAAGGTTCTCCTATGAGACGGGCTGGGACTTCAACAACCTGGCTCATCAGCAGGCCTTTCTGGACCTACAAGATGAAGAATGCCCTGACGAGATCCTCCTGGCACCAGAGTGCAAGTTGTGGAGTCGCATGCAGTCACTTGGTCGTCGCACCTTCCCTCAGCAAGAGGCCCTTCAGGCAGCACGACAACATCACCATGACCGGCATCTGATGTTTGCCCGCCGCGTCTACTTGCGACAGGTCAACCATGGCCGCCACTGTCACATCGAGCAGCCGAAGCATGCCTTGTCTTGGCGCACTCGGGCCCTGCGTGATCTACCTGGCCGGCGTGCAGATTTTGATCAATGTCGCTACGGTGCCACTTGTCAAGGCTCTGACGGGGTCTGGAGGCCCATGAAGAAGAGCGCATCGCTGCTTACCACGAAGCAGGCTGTTCAAGGGGCTATGACTCTCCAATGTCAAGGGGATCACACCCATTGTGCTCTTGAAGGTCATGCTCACGGCTTTGGCAGTCGTATATGGAGGAGTACCAACCTGCTCTGGCAGCCACTTTGGCTAGTGCGATTCTTCTTGATGAACCTCCGCAACCTTGGGAGACCGGCTTCGCATCGGCAGAGCAAAAGATTGTGACTGGCGACTTGATCCGACTTCGCACCACCATCAAGCAGGACGCCATCAGGACAGTCCAACGACTTCACAGGAATCTTGGCCACCCTGGTCCTGCTGAGCTTGCTGAACTGCTTGAGACAAGGGGAGCCAGTGACGCCGTCGTCCAAGCGGCTAAGAGCTATGTGTGCACAGCTTGTGCCAAGTACAAGAAGCCTGGAGATGCTGCACCAGCATCCATGCCTGCCACCGCGACCTTCAACCAGATCGTGCAGGCTGATGTCTTTTGGCTTCGCCTTGGCAAAGACAAGTACCCCATCCTCAGCATGGTGGATCTTGCAACCCGGTTCACTTCAGGTCTGCTGCTGAACAACGAGCAGTCCGAGGAGTACATCAAGGCTCTTGAGCGAGGATGGCTGTCTATGTTTGGACCACCTCAGCGGCTCATCACTGATGAAGGCAGACCTTGGCTCAGCCGCGTCTTTGAGGATTGGAGTTCTGCCCATGGCATCTTTCACGAAGTCGCCCCTGGAGAGGCACATGAACGCCTTGCAGCGGTGGAACGTCGACATGCTCTCTTGCGCAAGGCCATCGAGGTCTACTGCTCTGACATGCACCTCACCAATGCCAAGGGCATTAAAGAAGGTCTTGGGCTACCAACCTCAGTTGGCCGGCAGTCTCCTCTCTGATTCCTTCAAGCCCGTGCACTTTGGTGGCCATGAGGATTTCGAGCTGACTCTCGCTCGTCGCAGTGCCGCCCAAAAGGCCATGATCGAGGCCGATGCTGACAAGCGACTTCGCCGGGCACTTGGAGCAAAGTACAAAGGCCTTAACGCCGAGTACAACCTGGGTCAACAGGTATGGTTTTGGCGAGATGCCAGGCAGCCCGACCTCGTGAAGATCAGGTGGCTGGGTCCGGCCCAAGTTGTGATGAAAGAATTCAAGAAGGATGGAGATGGACAAGATCGTGTACATGTCTACTGGCTCGCCTACAAGACGCAGCTCATCAGGTGCGCACCGCACCACGTTCGAGCCGACATCAAGGGGTCCCAACATGCTTTGGATGATGTTCAGTCTGCCCTCACGACTGTTCGACAGCTCAAATCCAGAGGTGTGACAAGGTACTACGACCTCCACCACTTGAACAAGCACAACCTCCTGGATGTTGACAGTGATGCTCAAATGGATGAGGTCGAGGGCGATTTGATCGAAGAGGAGTCCGACCATGAGCTGGCACCACCTCGCCGTCGGCCACGACTCCTTCCACCTGGCGCAGAAGCCGCGACGGAGCCTGTCTTACCGATGTCGTCTGGAGGCCCCACTTTGCCGACACCTTTACCTGCCGCAGCCGACATTCCGGTGATTGACACGGGCGACTACACTCCGACTTCTCCAGCCGATGGCAGTCCACAAGCTGGTGCTCCATATCCTTTCGCCAATGGGCCAACGGCAACTGGAACTACGGATGCATCTCCTGAACTACCACCACGAGTTCCCAGCAGCATTGCATCTCTGTCAGAGCCCAGTGAAGAACCTCCAGCTCAAGAAACGCCACTGGCACCAATGCCTTCTGCTCGACCGCTGCTCTCACCGAGCGGTGAACCTTCGGCTCCACGACCACAGTTGGACCCCATCACGGCCGAGCTCTATGAGCAAGTGGAGGGCGAGAACTTTGAACAGCGTCGCCTGCGCCTCAACAGGCAGGAGACCATGAGCTTTGCACCTGTGCGTCATCACGCAAGAACTGATGTTGCACCATATCCACCGGCAGCTGCACCAACTCCACCGTCCACCGAGGACAAGGCTGGTCACTAGAGCTTATGGACTTATACCTGCAGTTATTAGTTGGGTAAACTAGGTTGTAAGGTAGGTACCATATGGTTATAAATTGAAAACTTTGGGCAAATGATTTCTAAATTTTGTGCCACATACAAATTAAATAGCGCAACTTGAGAACTTACAACCAGAACTTGGGGAAACGTAGTAAGTTAAGGTGTAATTAATCTTATTTTTTGTAAGTTTTGCTAAGTTCTGCACGAGGACATGGTCAGAACAAAGACTTTTTCTCCGCCGTCGCCCCGCGCTGGTTCAACCATGGTGTGGCTCGCCCACCTGCACGTGGCTCGCCCGTGTAGATTTTCATCATGGACCGTGATCGGGACCGCGGTGGCAATTGGCACCATGAGCGGGGTGGAGGGGACCGGGGTGGAGGCACTCGCCCCAACGACCGGGGTGGAGGCACTCGCCCCAACGACCACGGTGGAGGCGCTCGCCCCAACGAAGCTCACATGGGTCCGTTGCGGCTCCCGGGCGGTCAAGGTACCCTGACCGCCCGGGACCGAGATGATATTTGGGAGAGGTACTGGGTGTCAGCAAGCGTGAGATGGCGCGCCCAATGGGCGGAACGGTGTTTGAGCCTATCTGGCGATGCCGGGTCTTTGAATGCTGCAAAAGACATGGCAATGGAGAGGATTGCGCAGCATGGAACGGAAGGAGGCCGCGCTTCTGAGCCGACTGCAGGTCCCGAGCTGCAGGCCTTGCAAACCCAGGTCCATCAATTGGACCAATATGTCAGGAACCACCATAGCTTGCTGCAGTACCTCACCCAGCAAGCGACTCGGGCTGAGCAGACGGCTGGCCAAGCTGTTGCAGCAGCACAGGCCTATCGCCAAGCGGGCCAGGATTCTCTGGAACGCATCAGCCAGAGAAATACGGAGGCCCACGAAGAATTTGAGGCTGGCATTGAAGAAAGGGTGCAGCAGATAGTGCGACAAGTGCTGGAAGATAGGAAGAAAAAAAGAGGAAAAAACGACGCACCAAGCGAAGCGAATCCGCAGAGGATGAAAAAGAAGCAGAGCGAGAGAAACAAGATGAGCAAAAGCAAGATGGAGAAGGCTCGCCTCTCCATGACACAAGCTTCGCCAAAGCAGAGCGCATGTCCAGCACATCGCCTGCCGGAAGAGATGCTTCGCTTCATGTTGCTGATTTTTTGTTGTACATATAGGTGGGCGAGCCTCACGTCATATATATATATATATTATATATATAACTGACGAGCCTCATGTAGAAATGGTAAGAGTTGCTGAATTTTTGTTCACTTTCCCATGTGCGTTCGCTCAGGATGATTTGGTGGCCGCTGTTGGTGAAACGGCGGGCTTTCCAGAGGCAAACGCAGCGGAACAAAAGATGGCACAACAAGGAGAAGAAGAAGAAGAGACGTCAGAGCAATCTCTCGAGGTCTTTGCAGCCCCGGCTCATGACTACAAGATGGAACCCATCGAAGAGCCAGAGACTCCCTGCCTCACTGTGGATGACATGACTGAAACAATGCGCCTATCAGCGAATGCGAAGGAGCTGCCAAATGATGATGATGCAAAAGAAGAACAGCCAGGGTCAGGATGAGGCTCGTCCCATCCAGCATAAACCCCACTACTGAAGCGTATGGGAAAAATGTGGCTGCGTTACTCTGCGTTGCTGTAGCGTCTTCGAGCGTCACTCTTGAGAATCATGAAGAGTTGTTCAGAATTGTTTCAAATCAGAAGGGTGGTTTCAAATCAGAATTGTTTCACATCTTGAGAATCGAATCTCGATCCGCAGCCTTTTCAGCTTCAAGTGGGATGGCTCACCTCCCTTTGAAGCGCAGAGCAGGGGCTCATCAAGGCAGCAAAACTGGACATGCGGGAAGGCTCGACCTCCCATCCATGCATCCCTTGAAGAAAGACAAGCATGTCGAAAAGCAGGTGTGCCGGAAGCTCCCCCCAAAACCTTTCATTTCAGGACCATGTGGCCACTCTAGGCGATCCTTCTCTAGACGCTGGTCATCAACGAAAAAAACTACGAAGGGAGCTGGCCAGCGACTTGGTCCATGAAGGTCTTTGCGGCCCCATCATGAGGACTTTTACCCTCCAGCTTGATGGAGAGGATTGGGAGTGGACTTATTTGTGTCTAGTAGCGTTGCTCAACAAGCTCTGCGCCCTGCAGCCCCGCCGCGCCTTGGGGACCTGATTCAAAACACGCCATCAGTGGCCTGTTACATGGACGAAGTAAAGCCTGGGAACGTGTTAAGGCCAGACCCAGCTAGGACCGTAGCGTGCTTCTATTGGACTTTGAAGAACGGGGACATCGTCTTCAGGCTTGGAACAGCTGGAATCCGGAGGTGGACGAAACCGAAGGAAGCACTGAAGGTGAAGCTATTGTCGCCAGAAGCCATCATCCCACGGCAGGTCTCGACTTGTACTCGACTTGTACTTTATATCAAAGACAGGAGCTGGGCACCAGGAATCCAGTTGACCGGATCTCAATCAGGGCACTGAGAGTTGGAAGTGGACGACGTGAATCTGCCGAGGACAGAGGCACCCAAACGGAAGCAGATGATGCATCAAGGAGCTCCTGGAGACCATCGAGTACCCGATTCGGAACTATGGTGTCGGGGAGCCCATGATGCTGAAGCAGAGGAAAGACGAAGAGCGAACCTGGGACTGCCGATGAGTGCCTGGGACCGATCCATGAATAGGAGGGGCCCGAGGAGGAACCATGGAGGAACCTGGGTGATGATGGACTCCGAGGGTGTGCACTTCACCTCCCATGACCCAGACCACCGGATCCAATGCTCGAGAAAGCGGAGAAGGCAGTGGCCAGCCATCAGGAGGGGCGACCTCGCTGAGGGAGTACCCGGAGGGAAGGTTTCCAGAGTCGAACCTCTGCGGTTGGTCACCACGGTAGAGGTGGTGCTTGGGGAAGTGGTGCCATGAGGAGGAGATGTGGGACTACCTGAGAACGCTGGGATTTCAGAAGGGGTTCCTGAATGAAGAGGTCTTGAAAGTGATCTCCATCTTCATCAACTTCCAAAAGACTGCCCGATCGATCGAGAGCAGCTGGACTGTGTGCGAGTGACTCTGGTGCACCAAGCTTGCGGGAAGAGCCGACTCTACACCGACCCGGGCCTTGACAGTTCTGCACCTCCGGATACCACTTCCTCGTGGACTGGGGCTACGATCTTCCAGATCAATGGCATCACCAGAAAGGAGATGGCGATGTATAGTGGTCCGGGCCGACAGCACAATACCAGTGCCAAGCAACAGGGCAAGCAACAGAAACTCGCTCGCCAGAAGAAGTTCAAGAAAGACAAGGACGGCATCAACGAGCGCCATCTGGGACCACATGAAAGGGCCATATGTTCAAGGAGGCCAAAGTGAAGGAGCTGAAGAGTTTCTTTGACCACCACGTCCGGGTCTTCGAGACGACGAAGGAAGCAGATCCTGCCCGGACTTTGACAAGTCGGATCCTCCTGAAGTGGTCGAAGAATCCTGATGGCACACCCCGGGCGAAAGCCAGATTGATTGTCAGGGGCTTTGCTGATCCTGACGCCTTGGCAGGCCAAGTCGAGACATCGAGCCCTACGACCACCCGACTGTCACGTTCCATGGTGCTTTCCTTGGCCGCCACTATGAGCTGGCGAATGTGGACCGCCGATGTGAGCACGGCTTTCCTTCAAGGCCGCAGCCAAGACAGAAAGCTCTGGGTCAAGCTTCCCTCTGAAGCACTCGAACTCCTTGGAGGAGACGAGAACACGAGGATGCTTCTGCTCAAACCCTGCTACGGTCAGATTGATGCTCCTCGTGGCTTCCAGACCATCATGGACTGCAATAAGCTGCTCAAGTTCGCCAAGGAGCATAAAGATGTTGGCTTGTGCTATAACCACATCGGCACGAGCGATCAGCTGAGGATGATCTGTTTCTTCGATGCTGGCTTCTCGGCTCGTGCTGACCGATCCTCTCAGGGCGGCGGCTACATCCTCATGCTCATCAACGAGCAGCTGATGACCTCTCCGGAAGAGGGTGACTACCACGTGATCGACTGGCGATCCTTCAAGACCCCGAGGGTCTCACGGTCGTCGTTGGGCGCCGAGGCTCAAGCTGGCGGTCAGGCCAGCGATGCTGTGGACTTTGCTTGCAGGTACTGGCATCACATGCTGCAGCCAGACCTCCCCTTGAAAGACTTGCTCAAGGTGACGTCCACGCTCAAGCCGGTGATGATCACCGACGCCAAGGCGCTCTACGACTCGTACCATCGAGAACGGACTTCATCTTCGGTGGTCGACAAAAGAGTCTCACTCGAGATTCGAGTGATGAAGGAGCGACTTCAAGATCTCGGAGGAGTTTTGAAACACTACGCCTCAAGCACCACAAGTTGAAGCTCACTTGGGACCCGGAGTATCAAGCCATGAAGAAGAAGTCGCAGTCAGAGAAGCTCACTGCACTTCAGGAGACCACCTCCACTGGTCCTACGAGAGTCTGGCGTCAAGGCCTGCCAGACGACTACCTCCCTGGCTCGGAAGAGGTTCTTGAGGATACAGCAGGTGACCCCACTGAGCATGTCAACATGGCATTCATCGAGCACGCCCTCTTGTATGTGCTCGCCTCAAGCCATGTCGTGGTCCGCCGGAAGTATAACATCCTGAGTCGCTCAAAGAATGTCCTTGTGTGGGCACTATGGCTCTGGATGATGAAGGTGTGCGCAGCCGAAGACAGCTGCCAGAAAGTCCAGGCACCACCCTCAGTGACCGCAGGTGAAGATGGCAGTTGGTATTTCCACGCACTGGTTTTTACTCAGTTGCTTCTTTTTGTGCTCATCTTCATGTGCGGCTATTTCAGTGGCCGCAGCTGGAATGGTTCAAAGTTGCCAACACCACCACCGGCAACAGCCGAAGCTGCTTCCCAGAAGGATGAGGCGATTGTTCCCCAACGCCTTCGTGCTCAGCTGGCTGAGGAGCGACAACGCTCTGCCGAGTTCGCTGCTGCCGCCAGAGAGGCCCGGAAGGCCATCGATCTGAATGTGCAGGAGCGAGAGTCCTTGTATGGAGAACGCCACCACCTGTTCTCCCTCCTGAGGACCGCTGAGGACATCCTGAAAAGCGCCTGGAGCAAGAGGTCAACGACCACATGGACACCTGTCCCCAGAACAAGCCACTGATGGCTTCGAAGGTTGGAACCTGCTGGCATGATGATGGATGCCAGTCTGTGCGCCAGATTCCAGACAGGAATCTCCTGACCCTGCGTCGCTGTTCATTTTGTGGCGACCCGAGGTCACCTTTGGATTTTTCAAATTTGCGGCCAGACATGACCGCTTGGCACCATGCCGTACGGGCACTGGTGTACTGATCCGACACCACCACCGGTGTCAGTTGCACGCTGTGCAACCATGTCAGGTTCACACGACTAAGGTACCTGCCCGCAGGGTGGGCTCATGCAGCTGAAAAGCGCTCACGGCCGCGGACGCTTCGGCGTCTTTCCAATTAGCTCGCGTTGGTTCGTACTCGTACTGTTCCACGCTTTGACACGGTGTTCTTCGGCAACATCCGCTGTTTTCTCAACCACAAATCAACATGGTTGTAACATGTTGCAACTCTGGAACTTCAATGGGGCAAGGTTAGGGATAAGGCTGAAGGTTTGAGTCTGAGGGATTGGGACTTGTTTACTCGAGTCTAGGTCTAGGTTTGTCCCCTTTTGGTACTTTTGAGGTGTTGAGCGTTGTCCTGGGCGGGTTAAAAGCAACAGCAGGGCTCCAGTCTTTGTTTCTAGGAGGGGGTAGGCAGAGGCAACAAAAGGGGGTTGCAAAAAGCGATCATGGGGTGTCAGCCTTTGTTTCTACGATGTGATAGAGGTCCTAAACATTAACGGCTGCTACCGGTGCTGCATGTAGTTGTAGTCGGGTAGTGGTGGTGGCGCAGCAGCAGTAGCAGCAGCAGGAGTAGTAGTAGTAGTCGTCGTCGTCGTCGCAGTTATAGTTAAGTAGTAGTTGCGGGAGGGACGTTACTGCTAATACCACCAGTACTTGTACTGGTACTTGTTGGCTTTTTCATCCGGTCAAAGAAACAATCGCGAGACTCCAGCAAGAAGATGTGTGTTGACAGGTTTGACAGGGCTGCACTTTTTCGCTTGACAACATTAACAGCAGCAACAACAACTCTCTTTCCATGTTACCTTTTGAGCACTGGGCTTTAATACGCATTAGTGCTGGCCAGGATCACCCAAAACATCCGCAAGACTTGCAGAACTCAGAAAGTGGTTCCCTAGTCTCACGGCACCGACCAAGATCCGGAACAAGCTTCAGGATCAAAGCAAGCTTCTATGACATGTTGATAGTTTCTTTCTTATGTTTATATAGTTGTTAAGTATCAAAGTTTAAACGCATCGTGGGCCTCGTTTTCACCCGTTGCATATACGAGGCACTTCTGCCCTCGCATTTTCATGTTGCCAGGCAATCGTCTGTGCCAAAGATCACTGAAGCCATTGAGGAAGCAATTGAACCCAACTTTGACAACAGCGGAACTGGCAGCACAGGTTGCCTCGCGGGATGGTGGGGGTGGGGATACGGCTCTTTTGGTGATCAACATACGGTTTGTTAAAGATAGTGCGATTTGTGCCCCGCATTACAGCAAATGTGCTGAGCTCATAGATCCACATTTATAATCATATACTGTATATATATATAGACATACTCGGATGTCGAACCCCAACAACTGTGATGACACGAGCAACTGAAGTTGATGGTAGTCACAGCTGACCTAAACTCAACCCATCCGTTCAATGAGTAAGATACGGTAAGAAAATTTCCGTGAAAGGGGCTATCCTGTCGCAATCACTTCCCCAATTTTTCTCCATTCCTCCACATGCTAACCTGCCCATGAACCACTGGTCTAGTAGGGTTTCGACTCATGTGAGGAATCCTCAGCAATGCTTTTTGCATTATCATAGATCATTAGTGAAAAAGGGACTATGCGACTATGTGTACATGATTTGTCAAGAACATTCCAATTCCAACAAAAGGTTCATGGTCCTTGAGGACTGAAAGATCCACATTTGGTTCATTGATATGTGTGAGGACGACAATGCATTATTATTACACACACATATATATATATATACAATAAATATACAGTATATGTTTGATTACTACATGTAATACATATATATATATATGTGTGTGTGTGATTACTCATAGATGACAATTTCCCATGTTGTTTATTCTTTGTCGATGCCTGCAGGCGCCAAGTCTGAGAAGCCTGCTGAGATAGTGGAGCAACTTGCCGAGGGAGGGGTGAGGGGTAGGAAAGCTCAGAAAACGAAATGTCGACCCCCACAATCAGGGCGGTTTGGCCTGGTCGGACCTCCACGTGTGAAATACGACTCGAGGCCTCATCCAGCGTGAAGAGCGCTGAGATGAGTAGGAGGCCACAGTTTCCGGTTTAGGAGTTTAGGGTCTCAAATCCTTGGGCTTTGAGGTCCCACAGAGTTGCTAGGAGCGTTTGGGCCTTTTGGTGTACCGACCTTTTGGTTTCTTAATGTTTAGCGACAAAAGATTGCCAACCTTATTTGTTGCATGCTTTTGTCCATTGGTTTGAGTGCGTAAAGCTAGTATAGAAGCCAAAATGTTCAGAGGTGGCTACATGAGCATGCTAGTGACTGAGTTATATAACACCTGCAATAACTTCTGACGGAGAAAATCCTACACCACTGGATTCTCCAAGATACTGGTGCTTCGGATTTTGTCAATCAACCGTAACAGCTGCATAATGCTCGAGCGATGGTTGTGAACACTAAACCACATGGTCAGAGGAACCAAGGCTAAGCACATTGCAGAGGAGTTATATCCCGGAACCAGATGGCTTGGGGCTTAGCTTGTTCCACACATGTTTGGGAAATATATATTTTTGTACATATTCATATTGCTATTGCGTTTTTGAGATCATGTTTGCAGCCTTGGGTTTTTGAGCCGTTACCGGATACAGTACCCCTGCTGGCAGGGGTGAAGTTTTCGATGGTTTCCGGAAACATTGGCCTGGAATGATGCCGTGTTTGGTTATCCTGTTTTGCCGCTGAGGTTTTCTACAGAGAAGCTGAACAGTGGCTTGGTCAAAGAAGTTGGCATATGGCATAGGCATAGCGGCATAGCCTCATGTGATGCGGGCACCGGGTGAACACATTAATCATGTCAATGTTCACAAGTGTCATGCTGTTTACATAATACGTAGCCTGCTGTCACAGACCGCTGGAGGTTGCAAAGTGATCAGTGATAAATGTGCCGTTGCCGCTGGAGGATTTGGGGGGAATGTTTGCATTTTGCCTTTGACCACATCGAGCTGACCTCCCTTTGATTCATAGGTCCCAGCACTCTGTCATCTTTGATCGCCAAGATGGCTAGGTTCCAGATTTGGTTGATGTTTGCCCACAATGATGGGATGACCGGCTTCACAACATCCAAAACGGACAAAGACATGCATCCATTCTTCGTGACCAAGACCGTGGTCCGCGCATGTCCGCGCCATAGGAAGGTCCTGGAGAAAGATGACTCCGCACCTGGAATGCAAGAAAGTGGACCTCGTGGTGTCGATGGTTGTTCTCTTGGACTCCAAACGAATGTGTTGTTGGTCGGCTGGCCGGTGGTCTTTCACAAGGGCCAAACAATTCCCACTTTGTTGGAAGACACCGAGAGCCCGGAACAACAACAAAGTGGAACAACAACAAAATCTAAGACTCTAAATACAATAAGTGTTGAAGTTTGCTACCCACCCAAATCACTGCCAAGTCAGGCCTGTGCATCCGGCCAGAAAAGCTCAGCTCAGCATGAGTGGAACCAAAAGCGCACGTCTTTGAGCCTTTGAGTCCTACAAAGGATCGATTGGGATTGATAGTGTATGATCTTGATTGCACACTATACTATATACTTTCATACGCTAGCTAGGAAAACACAATCTGGATTGTATACTGTCTTCATCGAGGGGTGTTGCTAATCAAGAGTGTACATGAGGCGAGCATAGAATAGAACGCCACTTCTCAATCTCACAAGTTCACCGCAGAGGGCCTCTATTTGTTGGTGAGTGTATTTGATAGGCACTGCACGAAGACCGCAACAAACAGCCCAAGAAAAACAGACTTCTCCAGGCCATGTCCCCAACTTAGGGACTTTCACAAATCAGAGCCTCCGACAACTTCGTCGACTTCCGGGACGGTCCAAGCCTTCTACTGTCCGTGCGGCAGTCCAAGATAGTCCAAGCCCACCCCAAGCCCCTTGAAACCCAGGTTCTTAAATGTCTCGGACTTGGCGGACTTGCAGGCGGACGATGAAACGGGCCACACCGGGGCCAAATCGGATCCGGAAGGGGAGTGCTTTGGGCGGTTGAGGGCTTTCTTTTTGTATTTTACTTTTTTCAGCCGTTGACAAGGTCCGGATGGGGTTGGGGGATGTTTTGGGAGGTGAGGAGGTTGAGCTAGCCTTTTGAACCAACACCTCCCACAGATGAGCTTTTTGGACGCTTTTTGAAATTTAGAAACCAACTTGTGAGGTTGCTGATGGCTCACTGCTGTTACTGTAGAACATTTTTTGGGGTATCCTTTATAATCCCCCTCTTCTTGATTTAGAAATCGGGGGAGGGGGGGACAACCTTTAGAAATGTAATTTCCGGTTTCATTTTTTCCTTGTTTTTTTCACAGTTCTGGTTGATTTGGGATGACGCATCTGAATCTAATTGTTGGGTTTTTCACTATTGTCGGGAGGTTTTACTAAAGAATTTACTTGTCGGGAGGTATTACTAAAGAATCTAATTGTCGGGAGGTTTTACTAAGGAATTTGATTGTCGGGGAGTTTTACCAAAGAATATAATTGTCGGGAGCCAGGAAGTCTAGATTTGCACGGTCAATTTTGATTATTGAAAAAATCCGCCTCGACTAAATCCGGAGGATTTAGTCAAGGCAAGCCGTTTATTCTCAAGTCGAGCCTTGCCGCCTCGAGATTTTTTCAGCCCGCCTTGACTAAATCCGGAGGATTTAGTCTAGTTTCAAGGCAAATAGTTTCTATCAACATGGTCTTCAAGGCAAAAAAACCAGCGCAGAGGCCTTGATTGGATACTCAAACGAACCTCAAACGTACGGGCCGACCTGTCCAACATCTCACGCGCACCTCAATGCACTGGTCATGCAACAAAATTGTCACTTTAGTGCATTTGCCTTTAGCTTAGTTCATGGCTGAACTTGATCAGTCGGTCTTTACGAAACCACGGATGGAAGAAGCGACGCAGCTCTCGATCGAGGACATCGGCGTGCAAGAAAGTTTCCTTGTAGAGGGGGTAAACCATCCAAAAGAAATTGACCACCCCCCTAAGCAGCGGCCTGTATCTCTGTGACCGGCATCCGTATAGGGAGAGATCTATGTTGCCGTTGATGTTGTCGGCTTGGGGCTTCACATGTCCATGTAAGTGTTCATGTTGTCCTCAATGTTGCTGAATAAACTCCCCCCCTGCTAAGTTTGCAAGAATCGGGCAATGTATGTCCTTGTTGCCCTCATATTTGTTCAACGAGGCCGACTAAACCTGTAGTGGCAGTAGTGGGAGTTGGAGTTGGTGTCATTTTCTTTAATTGGGGAGTTCGGGAGTCCTGACCAGGTTGTTTTGAGTTTATGCTCAGGATTGTCCAGGGAGGGAATATTCACTATATATATATATATATATTTTTTTTTTTTTGGGGGGGGGGGTTAAAAGGCGTCGCTTTCCCAAGTCTTCTCCAGATTTCCACCTCCACCTCCATCCACACCAAAACTGGATCACCCACCTCCCCCCCTCGAAAAAAAAAAAACATCCCATCCTCCCCATACCATCCACATGCCTTCCCCGGGTCAGTAGGACCAAGATAGATAGATACAGAAATATAGTAGATCAACATAAAGGAAATTCACATTTGAAATTTAATTTCGTTTTCTAAGAGAAGCCTGGCGCATAATAACCGTAAAAATAAGGGTAAATCAGTAAAATGGGGACAGAACATCACATCCCATGAGATTTCTCACGTAGGTCTCCACTGGAACCGCCCTCTCGACCTTTGCGAATGTCCGTCGCAGGTCTCCGAGGACGGCTCTGAGGCCTCCGAGGCGTCGAACAGCGGGAGCAATGCGACCTCCCCGGAGTTCCAAGGACGGCACCGGCGTCGCCAACGTTTTTCGGTGACGCCGGGGACGAACGCGAGCATGAACCGGGCATCCGAAGGCCCGGGGTGGGAAGCGTCGCCCGGAAAAAGGAACCCAAAACCAGACAGGAGGAGAGATGAGGAGAGTGTGGGTGCTGGCAGGTCTTTTTGTTCGCTCGTTCCTGGCCGTTCCAAAGGTGGACTTTGGAGGTTTGGTGACGGAAATGCAATGCATGGTTATCAATGTCGAGGTGTTTTCTGAAGTGCACAGGCTCTACTTGAAGTAGACGATGGCATGTTTTTCATGCATTTGCACTTGTTTGGGTCTGTAGGTTGCTGCTTTGAAAAGTGTGTGCTTTCGCTTCATCAGCAGAACCTGCGTTGCCCAGGACGGACCTCAAGAGGCGTGGCAGTCGACCGAAGCAAGAAACACCGGCGTTCAGCATGGCGCATGGCAGAGCGGAAGGACAATCTCACGCCGATCTGTTCAGGTTGGAATGTAGAATCCATTAATGAGCTATTTGGATTCATTGATGTCAGACGTCCACATGTGGGTTTGGGCACAGGGCTACCCACAACCACTTTGAAGGGCTTTCTGGTTTGCCACAGAACCTACATGAAGACACGCTCAGGCTCTCACAATTCCAATGATACCGAGGCAGGCTGCCGCGCACCAGTTTCAGGTGTGATGATGTCGTGATATGTTTATGTTCCACAGGTAAAATTTAAGCTGCTCAGATGCTCATCAGAAGAATGGTCAGTTTAAACGTCAGTTTACGATGTTTAAGGTGACGTTGTTATTTTTCCCCATTCCCCCAGTCGTTTTTTTGAAGCGGACTCTGAACCAAAAATACAGAGAGCCGAGAGCCTCATGACGGTGCTTTGACCACGCATGGCCGCTTCAGGGAATGGAATGTTTGAGTTCAGGAGCCGAGGGCGGGCCCAGCACGAGGGGGGACATGATGCTGGTGCTTCTGGGTGGTCGCGACGGGCTCGGGCGGCCGAATTCTCCATAAAGCTTGCCGCGAGCCACGGAGCTACAGGGAGCTTCCAATCCATCTTAGATAGATAGTAGATCATAGTCGATCCCCCCAAATTCACGGACTGTTCACCGGATCTTGTTGAGTATAGGATGTGGGTTATAAGTTTGGGATGCATGGTTTTTGCTTTTCCAGTTTGTGTTGTTTTCAGTGCAGCATGCGGCACGCTTCGCCTTTTGAGGATTGCTTGCACTTCTTGAGCCTGTGTATTGTAAGATATTGTAAGCATAGTGCACGCAGGAAAGTAGGTAGCATAAAGCAGGCCAAACAGGCACTCCCCCTCAGAGGGTCCTTGAAGCCTGTAAGTCCCCTAGAGTTGGAGCCTGCACTCTTTTCGTGGACGTTTAAGCAATCCATAGCAATCCTTTTTGAGTGTCCATTGAGGGTGACTTGGATTGATCACCAACCAAAAAGGATAGCAGGAAACCTTAAACACCACCTGTAGGCTGGGCAAGTTGTGGGCAGACGGTGGACAACCTGTCCTCTTGTTCAGGGCACTTCCCCCAGGCCCAGGGCTGATTTGTGAGGAGCCAACAGCATGAACAGCCAGAATCAGAAGCCTGTGTTGCTACAGGCGGGGTAGTAGCTACTACTGTCGGTCACACGCCAAACTTGCGGGGTTGGGGTGGCCAGCCTGTGTGGATATGGGACAATATGAAGTCCGCAGGTGTTTCCATGTGTTGTTTTTTCTTGTGTTTGTTGCTTTTTTTCCTCCAGTGTGGACACCCAAACTGCTGTATAATCTAGTCATCTAGTATCATCTATCCACCACTGCCGGCTTACTGGATTTCCCTCTAGATGTTCACTCGAGGTCATCACTGACATGCCGGACGCGGAGAGCACCCCCCTCGGCTGCATGGGACGGTCCCGCCGGGCGCCCCGACAGTGGGTGATGTAAGACTTGCGTCGGACTGACCGGACCGTGGAAAAGAAGTAATGTAGACATGTGGAAGCCCTAGCTACAATCAATAGAAGGATATGGAAGGAGTTTGGGAAGTACAGTATGTCCTCGTTGATTCTTGGATCGCTGTAGCTGTTGCATGAAGATGCTGAGAGGCAAACAAAAACTGGATCCATCCATATAGCCTGCAGCAGTCCCAAACTTGTTCGCCATTCAAGTCACTAGCCGCTCATCGGATAGAGGGAGGGAGAGTGGGCGGCCGGGTGTTCTCAGAATGTGTGGCTGTGTTGTTCTTTGCTGGTTTTTGTTCTACGATGTTGAGCCTCACTTGGTGCTCTACTTGGCCCCATACCTAATCTTGGCCTGGGCCAAGCTTGCCACGCTCGCTCGTGGTTGACCAGCTTTTGGCCTTCGGAGCGCCTGGTTGCTGCGTTTACGACCTCACGGGCCGGGTGAAAAATTCAAATCAGGTAAGTGCAACTGCCACCATGTCCCATGTCTCATACCTCAGGAATCCCCAGTGCCCACGGGGAGATAGCATGAACATCGGGACCTGGAGAATGCACCCCATGGCATTTCTTTGCAGCCCATAGAGCTACACAACATCAGCTGATGTCGCATGTCAGGGGATGTGCTACAAAGCAGCGCCACTCCGCGTCCACTCCTGCCCGCCCCTCCTCCGGTTTGGACGGCCGCGGCTGGAGCTTTTCCGTGGCAGGACGAGGGTCTGGTGTCCGAGTCCGAAGTGCCTGCTCAGTCAGACTTCGAGACGAAAAGTCATCCTTCAGCAGCTTGGCCCAATCCAAAGACCTGCAAAACCTGATCAAATATGATCAAATGACTCTTGCGTTTTTCCCGAAAGCATTGCGAAGGGTTCTTCCGGAAAATCCTTTGAACACTGACGCTTCGACACTTACACTTACACACTGACACTTCCACTACAGTCGCACTACATACACTGACACTTCGACATTGACACTTACACATACACACTGACACTCGGCAAGCACGCAGTGTAAGTATACAAGTGATGGGTACGCAAGCATGCTTTGAGCATGCAAGCATGCAACGAGTAGGCAAGTGTGAGTATGGAAAACTAGCACGGGAGATGTCCTAATGAAAAAACATTTCCCCACTTTATAAATTCTCTCTTAAAGGCGGAGGGCGGGACGAACAGCGTCAACCGAAAGTGCAACCCTCTGCGGAGATCGTGCGTGTCGAGTGCGCGAAAT